GACTGAATGATTGACTGTCTGACTGAATAACTGACTGTCTGACTGAATAACTGACTGTCTGACTGAATAACTGACTGTCTGACTGAATAACTGACTGTCTGACTGAATAACTGACTGTCTGACTGAATAACTGACTGTCTGACTGAATAACTGACTGTCTGACTGAATAATTGACTGTCTGACTGACTGAATAACTGACTGACTAGCTAACTGAATGATTGACTAGCTAACTAGCTGATTAACTGACTGACTGATTGACTGACTGACTAACATACTGACTACCTGATTGACTGACTGACTGACCTACTGACTGACTTACTGACTGACTGATTGACTGGCCGACCGACTGACTTACTTACTGACTAACGTACTGACTGACTGATTGACTGACCGACCGACTGACTTACTTACTGACTAACGTACTGACTGACTGATTGACTGACTGAATAACTGACTGAATGACTGACTGACAAGCTAACTGACTGACTGACTAACGTATTGACTGACTGAATAACTGACTGACTGACTGACTGACTGACTTACTTATTGACAGACTGACTTACTGATTAGCTGACTGATTGACTTACTGACTAACTGACAGACTGGTTCAGTGATCAAGCTGACTAACTTACCAAACGTTGGAAACACCCGTATGACTGAAAGTGAATAACGGACCCAAACCAAAAAAAAAAATTGTGTCGATGACATCGTAAACACACCTTCAAAAGGTCAGAATATTGTGTCGCATTGTTTTACTTACGTCCCAGTAAATGAAGAGCTCATTCGCTTTTCCAGGTACTCCTCTCAAATTAGTTGGGTATATCTCTGGGTCTGTTTATTCAGAATAAAACCAATTATATTATTTGTTAGGATTAACCCCTCAAATGAAAAGCAGAAGAACAGAACAAAGTATTTTGTAATGAGAATTTTCTTGTGAAATGGATCAATGAAATGAAGGTTGCTCTTAATGATGCAACCAGGACGGAACAGGTCAGTTTAATTATAATTCAGTTAATCAAATACGGAAAACTAGAATGTCTGAGTCGCGAGCAAAAAGGTAAATATCACCAGTACAAATGTCGGTTTTCAGGCCATCCGATGGCTTACGATCCCAAACATCTAGTTTCCACTAGATCACAAGCGACGAAGTTGTAAGCAGTATCAATACTCTGCTCTCTATTCCACTGGTTAAATTATCATCGACTCCGACGTTACTGACTCTTTCCGCAGTTTGGGAAACCACAACAAAAATTTATGTTTAAAAGCGGTACTCTTAATCCCTATGGTATCAACCAACGTTTTTCATTCAACTAATTTATTCTTGTCTTTTCGCGTCACCATTTTCCCACCAAAAATGTAGCTCTATCGTATTGTATATAAACCAAACACACTCCACAATTCCTCTATTCTAACTGACGAAGGACTTGCGCTAAAAGCATTAGCCCTTCGTCAGAGCGATATTCTTAATACATTTGAAGAAAATTTTTTAATCGGTTGGGTTTCACCTCAGCTTAAGTAACTCTACTGTGACGAATTTATATTATAAACTCAATTGATAAAACTAACACACTCCACAACTCCTCTCTTCTAACTGATGAAGGGCTAGCGCTAAAAGCGTTAGCCCTTCGTCAGAGCGATATTCTAAACACAACTGAACACAATTTTTTATCGGCTGGGTTTCACCTCTGCTTAATTAATTCTCTTCGGTGATCAGTTTACATTATCAATGCATTTGATAAAACCAAATTATTCTGTTAAAAAAAAACCCGCCTTACGTTCCCTTCTAACATACCTACGGAGGGTGTGTCACAAGCCCCTTTCGCAGTTGACAGACTAGGGCGGCCCGGTCCATTGTCATTCACTGCCCTAACACGGAAACGCAGACTGGCCCAACCAGGAAGGCTCAGAGAAAAAGACGAAACGTTAGGACTAGTGACACTATCTACGAGTTTGAAGACGGTTGGTTCGTGATTCGATTCTTGATAAATCAGGTAATGAGTGATTGGGGCGTTGTTGGAGGCCACAGGAGTCCATGAAAGGATGGTTGTCCTGTCATCGCAGTCTGTTATTTTGAGATTTTTTGGAGGAGGTGGAACACCTGTGAAAAAAGAAGGAAAAGTTATTTGATAAATTATCGACTCAATACTAAATAGGTACAACGCCGTATCAATTTTATCCCTAATTTTCTAACCATTGCTACCTTTAAAAGGAAGAAAAGAGAAAAATTTTAAGTTGTGGGACTTGCTGCTGTACTAGGATGTTCAGAGACACAATCTTCCAACCTCCCTCGAGGGGGCCCCCTCGAGGTTCGTAAAATTTCCCTTACAGTTCGTCATTAGCTATCCACATTCTTAGGTGGGAGATTAATGTGTCCTGACCACAGCTTATTTCCAAATCATCAAAGACAATAAATTCGGTGATTCAAAGTACCTCTGATGGAAACAATGGCGGACACGCTGTCTTCTGATCTTTTGGGTTCTGGAGTGTATGCTACACACGTGTAAACGCCGGCCTCGTCAACCGTAATGTTAGAGATCCTTAACACATTTTCTGGCTTTGAGCTGTTGACGACTTCAATGCCGTCTTTTTTCCAGATCTACCTCAGCTCCAAGGTGGGATCCGCGGTCGCATAGCATTTTAATTCCACATTTGTACCCTGACTGACCGTCTGGGTTTGTGGTGGTCTCTCAAATATCTTCGTCCTCTCTATCACAGAGCACGAAAAAAAAAAATAGTCAAGATATCTATGAGCCAGTTGAGAAACACCACTTTCTGACATCATAAAGATCGTCGCAGCTAGGAACACAACTTGGTTGGTGTTTGTAAAAATAAAACTTCAAAAAGAGTTAAAAAGTTCTGGATTGGACGATGATGGAGCATACGATACCGCTGCAACGTCTCAACCAACCAAACCTTTAATCTGACGGAGGGCTGTGCATGACGTGAGTTCGTAATAGACTCACGAAGGATATATGCATTTAGCAGAACGAATGACAACCATAAAGTTAGACTGCAAGATAAAGATATCAATGAAGGAAAGATGATCACACCATTTACATAGGTTGAGTAGATTTACTTACCTAGCAAAATTCCCAGAGCTGTTACATTTGCCTTCCCCAGGAAGTTTTCAGCCATACAAGTGTATTTCCCAGCATCGCCATTTTTCACTTTGTCTATGATCAGGGTACCATCTGATTCAAGTCTGTAGCTTGCGTTCTGTTTATCACTAATCGCTACACCGTCCTTAAACCATTTCACTGTTGGTTGCGGCTCACCCTCGGGCTTGCAAGGTAACCGAGCCTGGCTGTCTTTGAACAGGTACACTGGAGGGACTTCCTCGGGGAAATATGGCTTCCGAGCTGAAAAGTGTAATTAAAAATAACTTATTTTTGCGTGCGTGCGTGCGTGCGTGTGTGTGTAATGTGTGCCAGGGCAGCCGGGTTGCATAACTTTAGAGTTACCTAAGCCTGCCAATTTGATCAAAGAGGTCATTAGGAAAATCATTCAGGAGTGAAAGAAATACTGGTTAACCAATAGCAGAGAAAGATGAAACATAAGTCTTATTCCGTAGATACGATGTCCATACTGTTACAGCTAAAATTATGGATAAGGACTGAAAGTATCCTCCTATTTCATTGTGAGTGACTTTGCACGCGTGCACGTTTGATAAAGCAACCAAAATATAGCAGCTTTCTCAAGACTCCACATGTGATTTCTTTCGATTATTCTTTTTCGAAAAGTTTTTTTTTTCAAAATTTGAGATGGAAAACTCAAGGTACGGCTTATCTGCGAGTGGAGTTTACCGCAGGTGTTGAGGGTGTATTAGCTTTTAAACTACAGTTAATCAAACATCATACCATCCACTTTAATATATATTGAATATTCTGTTCCATTTCCTGCCCTGTTGATGGGTACACAGGTATACCGACCGCTCCTTTGTAGCTGAACTTCATAAATACCACTAATGCTGCTTCCAAGCTGCAATTGGTCGCGGTAAAATTTGTACACCTCCACAGTTGGACGTGATTCCGCTGTACAGGTGAACTTTACCGAGCTGCCAAATTTGACAGGCTCGGTGACGTCTGAAGTCACTGATAGACGGGTTTTTTCTGGTTTGACTGCAATAAAGCGAGCACAAGGTTAGCAGAACGCTTATTACATATGAGCAAAAGTTATTAAAAAAGCTATTTCTTCCAAGAGCATCTCAAGGGCGGGAATCTTAAAATACGCAAACCTGTTTGGCTAATCACACGCTAATCTCATAACTGGTTCAGTTTTTTACAATACGGAACACCGTCCGGAGTTTTTCCCGCACCATTCACGGCAAAGAGGAAAAATCAAAACAGTAGAAAATAATGAATACGTTATTTACCGGTCTAGGTCGGTCCGTCTGGGAAAAAAGTGTGCCTTTGGTCGTCAGTACGAGGCCGCACTCAAGACCTTGGGTACAGTTTTTTTGAAAAAAAAAAAACAAAAACAAAAACAAAAACAAAAACAAAAACAAAAACAAAAACAAAAACAATTCCGCTCTTACAGTGTACTTCGAGACTGCCACTAGCTTTGGCAGTCGCGTTAAAAATGTTTTCCGCTGAACACCAGTACTGTCCAGATTGATTTCTGCTCGCTGTAAATCTCAGAATGTCTCCTGAAGCCACAACCACCCCATCTTTATACCATGTGAGATTTGGAGTTGGGTTCCCTGTGGCACTGCAACGGAATGACGCGACGTGGCCCTCAATGACAGAGTGAGACTTTGGGGTTACCGCACAACTTGGTGGGACTAGAAAAAAAAAAGGTATACCGCAAAAAGAAACAAAAAATGTTATCCGCTGTATGACTCCTTCAGATGAATGTATGACCAGGATATATACTGTGAATGTCGTTGGACTCCAAGCTCTTATACTTTCTTGACAATATAAACGCCAAACGCTTCGGTTCTGATTTAAGGCTCAGTCAAAATATGTATGTTCGAAAAAACTAAGCCACACTATGATAATTTTGGAAAATTAGGCTCGAATGTTTCATTTGGTCAAGAAGAACTCAGCGATAATCTTTTTGTTAAAAAAACTTTGTTTAGGTTTTACTTAGAACACTTTTCTCGGACTTTTCGGTCGACTTTCGTAAACTAAAAACCAAAGTAATCAGAAAAGACGATAAAAATCCCAAGACCTGATTGTTAATTCTCCCCTCTGGCTGCAACACATTTCTTTGTTAATCAGTTACGAGAATTTGGCGTTAGATCAAGACATCAACTTCTACCTGATAAGTTTGAGTATTCTCATTACCTGTTTGCTGGATCATGTATTGATATTATAGGGAGAAGTTACAGGTTAATCACTGCTGGGAGTTTAAGGGTCAAGGTAAATGATAGCCGGCCTCGACCGCGAAAAACATGACTGATTAAGTTACTATCAGTTTTTGACACTCAAACGAAATAATGTTTTCAGCCCAGAAGACCGCAATTTAAGCTTCTTTGTATCTACAGACAATTTCTTCCAAAAAAAAAAAAAATACATACATTGGACATCAAGCGAGGCACTTGTATTGACAGCGACACCCAATCCATTCTCCGCAGAACACCAGTATGTTCCAGATTGAGTTCTGTTAGCCGAAAATTTGAAGGTCTCCCCAGAAGCAACAGTACTCCCATCTTTAAACCAAGTTATTGTTGGTGCCGGGTTTCCAGTGGCACTGCATTGGAGTGTGGTTTCATCTCCTTCGTTAACAGTTTGGCTAACTGGTTTTGAGGTAAAACTGGGAGAAACTGTAAAATACATATACAATGTTTAATTTCTGTGGTCTAGGACAGTTAGCTATAATTTTTACTGAAGCTTCTTTTGTAATAACTCCCTACCAAGGCTATGAAAAATTAGGACGAAAAAAAAATGGCAAGCGCAAAATAACTAAGAAGAGAGTGGACTGGACCCGACAATAAAAGGGAAGCTGTATGTAAGCGATACACGAAGACATAACTTTGAAAAAGCAAAATGGTTGCATCCTCGTTTTGTGGCGCAGAAAGCATCCTGTGACACTTGGCTGCGACTCGTCTGGGGTACAGATCACAACGAAAGTTTGCCATGTGAGCCTTTTTTTAAAATTCACAATTCGTGTATATGCAACAGAAGTGGAGGCTAGAAAAGGGTGAAAAACTTTCAATCTGGGTCCAACTTGTACTTTTGATCACAGCGATAAACCCATGGTGGCAAGCTTGTTTTGGAGGCAACAAATCACCATTCAAACAAACGGCACAAAGTAGCCGGAGATAACGAACGAAGTCATACTTACATTGCACTTCAAGATTGACACTTGCGTTAACAGTCTTAAGATCATTCTTGGCCAAGCACCAATATTTTCCTGACTGATTTCGTGACGTTTTCAAGCTCAGTATGTTTCCTACTGTCACAGTCTTTCCATCTTTTACCCATACAATATCTGGCACAGGATTACCAATGGCATAACAGTTGAATGTGACCATAGCACCCTCAACAACAATCTGATCATTTGGTCTTGTGGTAAAACTTGGTCCATCTAGTTAAGAAAAAAAAGGATGACACATCGGTCAAACATTGAGCATGCGCAAATGGATCAGTTTTTGCCGGCCGCGTGCCCTTTTTCCCGCGCAAAATAATTTTAAACAATCTGAATCGCGCAAAAGTTACACAAATAAAACTGTGGAAAAAAAGGCAGGGAAAAAATTTTGCGTACATGAAATTCATCTAGTGTAGGATGTTCTGTTGAATCATAGTCTTGTTTTGTTGTTGTTACCAACAATACCATGCGTGCTCCGCCCTCCTTGTGGCTTCAACGTTAGTCTGGACACAACAGTGTCTCCAGTGTGCAGGATGACGACCTCGTATTTTAACAACAGGAGAAAGTCTCATATTTCATGAACTATGTAAAGGAAAGTTGTATCATCTCTCTTTTTGACTTGCTTAATAACGTTAGCAAAAGGTGGATGTTAATCTAACAAATTACTTATTTCCTTAATGTTTTTTGATAGAAATCATCATCGAGTTATTTCATGCTAAAAGTCGCAAAAATTTACATAACATCTGTAATGCAGTTCGGAACCGTGTCTCAAAGGCAGTTTTCTTTTCTTTTTTTTAAGGGGCAAATATCAGGTTTTGTTCGTTTTACACCACACTTCCATGCAATTAACTGCCTCATGTTTTGAACTCACACAACACATCAAGGCTAGCAGTTGCTTTGATATCCGCAGTCAAACCGTTCTCCGCCAGACACAGGTATGGTCCTGAATCATTCCTCCTCGCTTCAAACGTTAGCATACCACCCGATGCCACAGCATTTTCATCTTTGACCCATTTTATGTTCGGTGTTGGGTTACCATTTGCGGCGCAATGGAAACTGACACTATTGCCCTCAGTTACGGTTTGGTCTACTGGCTTGGTTGTAAATTCTGGTGGAACTGTTGGGAATAATATTGTTAGTGCGACTCTCGATCGCATGCTGCATAACAGAAATTATAGGAATACTACTGTCAATCGGAAGAAAGGAAAACACCTAAAGAGGTCTACGAGAACTCTTAGCGAACACATGTAGCAGGTCTCGCGCGTTGGTGTCATAAGGAAAAATCGGATTGAACAAGCCGTGTTACCTAGACGCGATTTATTTTAGGTTTTGCATCTTTTTTGACGGAAGGAAGTACCGCAACCAGATTTCTACAGCAACCACTTACAAAGGAAAACTAACACAAACCAAAATTATTGCAAATTAGGCACAGAAATGTGCGTGCCTTACGTCAATCCTCCAATCACCTTAACGCCTGTAGAGATACACAATTTCCAACCGTCAAACCTTCTTGAAAAAGTGTTGCAGTGACATCTCATTTTCAAATTTGCACGAATTTAACCGTGTACTTTCTCTTCATGAGATTTTTTTTTCAGCTAATAAATTTGTCATTTCGGTCATCATTTTGGGGAAGGTTTTATAGGCATCTTTGTTGAACAGGAAGGGAGCCGTACGCTTAGCGCTGAGTTAAGGTACTTACACTGTACATCAAGATTTGCACTAGCAATGGCATTAGGACTCAGTCCATTCTTTGCTAAACACAAGTATTCCCCAGACTGAGTCCTGTTTGTTTCAAAGCTTAGTGTGTTTCCTTGAGCAACAGTCACCCCATCCCTTATCCATGTAATCTTTGGGGTTGGATTTCCTGTGGCATTACAATAGAAGGTTGCCATGGTACCCTCAGTGACAGTCTTGTTAATAGGTTTGGAGGCAAAACTTGGTGGAACTATGACAAAGAACAACAAAAAAAGACATTTCTATTTCACGACACGTAAAAATACAGAACACTGATTAAGCTATTTTACTTATCACTATTCCTCTTGTGTTAACCAATTTACAATACTCAACTTTAGATAAAGACTGACGCCTAAAATTATCTAGACGTATTCGCTAACATAGCCTTTGATATCCTTAATAAAAGAAATTTTTTTAAGTAACCCGATCTGGCTTTGGTCCTATTCGGTGCGAAAGCCCTTTCCTGAAATAATGTCTCAAAAATGGTATATTTACGTGAAAAATAAATTAACGTGCAAATTAATTTACAAGATTTAAGACAGCCTTTATGATTGTCGCAAATTTTCATGGTAAAAAAGTCATTAAGAGCTGACGTAGATCTCTGTTGCAGTCCGGAACCGTGTTTCAAGCGCGTGTTTCTTTTTTTCGTGAGGCACGAATATAGGTGAAAGTAATTTTTCCAAGTATGATTTAGCGTGATTTGATCGCTGTCAATCCTACTTTCATGTAAATAATTGCCATGTGTTTGATACTCACACAGCACATCAAGGTTAGCACTTGCTTTGACTTCCTCATCCACACCATTCTCCACCACACACAGATATGGTCCTGAATGATTCCTATTTGCTTCAAACGTCAGTGTACCCCCCACGGCCACAGTCGCTTCACCTTTCACCCATTTTATTTTAGGTGCAGGATTACCGTTTGCAGCGCAGTGAAACGTGACTTCGTTGCCTTCCGTTATAGTTTGGTCAGCGGGCTTGATAGCAAGTTCTGGTGGAACTGTAAGGTATAATAATGTTAGTGCGATTTTCGGTATACTGACGCAAACAAAAGTCTTAAATGATCATGACAGCCAATAAGGAAACAGAGATAAACCACGAGGAGCCATAAAGTAGTCAAAATGACTGTAAATATATAAAAACCATACATGTAAACTGCGAAGAAACAAATAAATATGCGAGCGATCTTCGCAGTAATGAACACTGCTAAAGCAGTAGTGAAAAATTTAGGCCTATGCGGGATTTGAACCCATGACCTCTACGATACCGATGCAGTGCTCTAACGTTTTCCCTGCTAATTCAAAACTGTTCATTACTGTTAAATTCGTTCACATATTTGTCTGAAGAAAGATATTTCCGAATCAGTCTGGCTCGGTGGAATTGTAAACAAAACAGAATTCTGTTAATAGTAAATCCTGGGCATACCTGACATTTTCAGTAAGCAATATTTGAAGCATGGACTTTCTTTATTTGTGGGTGATTTTATTTTTCATGTTTCCTATTTCGGTCGCCATCCAGGAGAAAGTGCTATGGATAATCTTTATGAAAACGAGGAGAAATTTGCATCTACTAATGCATACACGCTACTCACACAGCACGTCAAGATTTGCACTAGCACTGGCAATAGGACTCAGTTCATTGTCCCTTTAGCACTAAGTAGAGGTACTTACACTGTACATCAAGATTTGCACTAGCACTGGCATTAGGACTCAGTCCATTCTTTGCTAAACACAAGTATTCCCCTGTCTGAGTCCTGTTTGTTTCAAAGCTTAGTGTGTTTCCTTGAGCAAC